TAAATAAAAATAAATAAAGTTGTCAAAAAGGACATGTAACTAAAAGATAAAAATAGTACACAATCTTAAGTTAGAAAAAAAAAAAAGAAACAAGAAAGAAAAAGAAAAAAGAGGAACGAAATTGTAATAGTAAAATAAGTTAAAATCTAACTACAAAGCAACTAGATGTATAGTTAAGGAATTCAACTATTTAGAATATGGGTTTTATACTTCTTCCGCTACTGTACAAGAATTTTTTATACAGCTGACTCAAGAAAATTGGCCCTGTCGTATTTAAAAAAAGAAAAGAAAAGAAATCTAATTTTTAATGTGAGAGTAGCAGAAGAAGATGGTTCTTGCAGTGACAGAAGAAGCTTTTTAGTCTTAGAATATTAGTCAACCAAGTAACTATGATTTAAAGGAAAGAAGGTGTGATTTAGAATGCCACATGCAAATATTTGAAAGAAGAATATATTGTCAAAATATTATATTAAAGCAAAAGAAAACAATAAAATAATCATAAAAGACTACTATAAATAGATGTGCATAGTAGAAAACCGTAAGAAAAGAATACGAAAGAACAAGAGAATGGGAAGAGAAAGTTTTTTTCAGCGAAGGAAGTTGGCGTGGAGGTAATGTTGAGTGTATAAATAAATCATTCCCTTCGTCTCTTTTCTTTCTTAAATTAGATTTATTTTGTAGTGAATATTATCAGATGAGAAAAGTTATACTTACAACATTTTTTTTTACAACCTCTTACGACCATGCATTAATACCGTTGATTTCCGTCAATCAACGATTATCATTTATTGTGAATTAATAATTAATTAATGAATTTAATTTGCGAAAATCATAACCGTTGATTGGCGAAAATTAACGGTGTTAAGATATGATTGTAAGAGGTTGTAAAAAAAAAAGATTGTAAGTATAACCTACCTCTTATTAGATTGTATATTTTTTTACTATATGATACTGTTGTGAATTGACCTGTAAAGGTTTAGGTTCAGATAGATATAGGATAAGGAACGCCTTATCATGGCTTGAGCTTTGTCATAACATAACTTTTCACATGCAGAAGACCCAATGAATTGGGAATTAAATTAGCTTCAACAAAATATTGCACAATTTATTATTTGTGGTTGTTTTTGTTATTATTTTATAAAATTACTTGACAGTGATATTTTTCGTTATTACGGCTGGAATGGTTATAGTTAGAAAACCTCAATGTTATTGAGATTTTCTCGCATTTTATTTGTTTTGCTAACCTTTCCAGATGCTTAGCTTATCTTTTTACGAAGAAGGATGAAATATTACTATTTATATTTATGATGACCATTGGGAATACTACATTGTGATGGGAAATCAGGGAGCCGTATATGTACTCTATCTGGACAAGGTGGAGACTTATGCATATACTTTAGACTAAATGAGAATCATGTATTAGTGTGTGATTTTAGGATGTAAAATATATAATGAAGTGATGTAATTTGATGTAGGATATAGGATATGTGTAAAATAGTGATGTAGGTTAGAAAGTAGACTATGTTGTAAAATTGGTAGCATATATAAGTTTCAGTACGAATCCACATCCATGTTTATATAAATGAAGGATGTTAGTTTTAACTAATTAATTCTCCTAAATTTAATTTTTTTATATTTTCATTTATTATCATTATTATTATTAGAATACACTTTAAGAAATAATGTAATATTCTCTATAATAGTAATAAACTATAAAGGATGTTAGATGAAGCCACTTTATGTTTGAATCCATAGATGGATTCTATGTCCATTGGTTGGACTATGTATTATATGTCTATATGGATTTTTCTGAGTTTTAGGTACCCTTTAAATTGTGGGAACTATTCCCTGGGTTGTCCAATTTTCAGATGTTATATTGTTCGTAAGATTCTATTTAGAATGGTACATGTTATCATATTTGGGTAGTCATTGACCTTTCATTATGGTTCACAGGGATTTGAGTATGATTGTTGTGTGGGTATGAGATTATACAATTAGGAATTTTCTGGAAAAGAAGAGTAAAAAGTTAGTTCACGCAATTATCTAGAATAAACATGAAACATATAGTATAGTTTTTTGCTTCAGCATTAATTTACGCTGCACTTTAGTACCATATGCGTGTTAACAAATCAGTCCGGAATGGGGTATTACACAGATTGATCAAGAGATGTATAAGGACCAGTGTTTCAGTGCAAGCACGAAGTGCAGATGGCAGTAAAGCAGTTTTGCATGCAGACTATCACACAACCGTTGTTAAAAAAGTTGATATCAAAAGATTGATTATTCTATGTGAAAATTAGAATGACGGTTGTCCGTAAAGGGTGATGGCACGCATGAAAAAGGGCAGCACTGAATGGGTTATCGACTAATGGGTTAATGAACATACATGCGTTAGCCAAACTCTTTCCCAAGATCACAAGCAGTTGGACTCTAAATTCATTTGTTCAATGATATAGGTATGACAACTATAAAATTTTTAGGGTTTATTTACGAATAGTTATAAATACATAATTTTTTGTTATCATACAGAAATGATAAGGAAGGTGCCCAATATTAAAATTGCTCTAATCCAAGAAAGGATAGCAACAAATCATGAGTTTCATATATCATACAGGAAGGCGTGGAAGGCAAAACAGGAGGCAAACATGTGAGTATATCATGCGGGAAGGCGTGGAAAGCAAAACAAAAGGCAAAATAGCTCGTAACGAGTAAGGTCATCTGACCGTTGTGACTGTACTCACTACTACTGATAGCGAGTATAGCCAGGAGTTGCCACGTGTTAAAAATGCATTCAAAATTTTTGACCGTTGCAGACTTTACTCACTTTACCCTGTAGCGAGTTTGTCTCCTGATGCCACATGTCACATTTTTGCAGAAAAGGGCAGAGCTTTTTTACCACTAAACTCGCTGCATCTAGCAACGAGTTTGGTGGCCTCAGAAAATGTGCCACATGGCATCACCAAACATGCTGGCAGTTATAGCGACTTTGGAGAGGTGTCATTCCAGCAACTTTTGTTTTGATAAAAGTATGGGCGTTGTCCCTGAGTAAAGCTTTGGTGAATAACATCTTGCTCATTTGAAATCTCAGGTGCTCAATAAAAGTGAAAAATGAATAATAATTATGGTGTTCTAGGCTAATTTTACATAAATGCTTACAGAAATACTTTTGTAAAAAATATATATTAAAAAATGCTTAAAAAAGTACAACTTATTTATTTATGAAAAGTGGTAAATAAATTTCATGGTAATTTAAAAAAGGTTTGATATTTGTCATATTGTAGAAAATAAAATTATTTCTGAACATATGTGGGGCATATGAAAAAGAGAGACAAAAAAAAAAAAATTGAGTCTCACATACTTTTTTTTGTCTATGAGATAATTTTATATGAGAGAGATTAAACTCTTTAAAAAAAAGGGAAAAGTTTAAATAACCCTCATGGTTTGCCTTTGAATCAGTTACCTTTTGTATATTTTTCACTCACTCAATTCCCTGCTCAACATTGTTAGAGTTTCTAATTAATATGACTTATTCAACCCTTCTTACAAAGATATATCTCAACTACCTTGTGTTATCTTCTTCCCCAAATTTTGCAATAATGTTTTACCATACAAAATTTCTCTTTAGACAAAATTTGTGATGTTACTTTAATAAGATATTAAATTTTTCTTCCTGCCTGCCCAAATATTTTATGCATAAAATTTCAAGCTATTATAGCAAATTTTGTGCCAAAAAATAATGGCTCAACTACACCTATAATAGTGCAAGGTAAAAATTGAAGCTTTCATATTGACAAGCTTGATTTTATTCATAAGGGCTTGTAAATAAACAATTCTGCCAAAGATTTTTTTTACGAAAAAAAAGGATATGTGTGGAAAAAATAAAAAATAAAAGAAATATCTCTAATCCTCGGATAAGGAGGAACAATTTTTTTTTAATATTTATTGTATTTTAAAAAAATAAGAAATTTATAGTTACATTATAAAAAAACGAAAAGTTATAGTTGCATGTTGACTGCACGAGTTGTACGATTACTTGTATCTTTATTTAATTAGTTAGTGTTATTGAGTAAACAAATGAATTTATAAACTATTAATTAATGAAAGCTATTAAAGTAAAATTTTATGCCAAAAAATAATGGCTCAACTACAACTGACTCAACTATATATTTTAACTTTTAATGGTTTGTTTGTTTTTTGTTCTTATTACTTTATTACAGGAACTTTTATAAATTTTATTTAAAACTCGTGAAATTTTGTATAATAAAACACTCTTATAAAGCTAGGGAAGAATATTATACAAGTAGTTGAACTGTATCTTAATAATAAGGATATAATAGTCATACTATTTAAAAATTAACTCTCTCTTTTTTTTTGAAATATTTTAATCGGTCCATCGCTTCGCAACTAATCTGATTCGAGATGGGTCCAAGATTAAGGCTTTAAATCCCTCTTAAAGGTAATACTGAGGAGATTCGAACACATGCTCTCATCCCCCACCCATATTGTTAAGAATGAATTTAGATGAAAAATAAAATAAAGATAAATAATAAAAAAATATAGTTATAAGTGATTTAAAAACAAACTGAAGAAGATGACACAAGATAAGTGAATTGTATCTTTATAAAAATACAAAAATAATATAATAGCCATGTTAATTAAAAATTAACTCTAATACTGTTATGAGAAATTTGGATTAAAAAAATACAAAAAAAAATATTATAAAAAAAAAGAATAAGTGATTTAAAAACAGATCACATGAATATTTAAACTTTTCCCTTAAAAAAGAAAAAGAAAAAGCAAAAGTGAAACAGTCTTATACCGTAATACAACATAAGGGAAAAGTTTAATACGCTGAGGGACTATCTAATATTAATTTTTCTTTTCCTTTTCTTTCTCTCGTAATTTTTTATTTTATTTTTATTTTTACACTCCCATTTATATTAACAAACACCCAATTTTGGGTGGTGCAGGATCGCTAAAAATACTAACATAAGACCATAATTTGTCAAGTGGGGCAGATCTGGAATTATTGTCGAATTTGCCACTGTGTCTTCTTTCTTCTTCTCCTTCTTGGTGCCATGGCAATTTGTTCCTCAGCTTCATCTTCTTCTTCTTCTTCTTCTTCTTCTTCTTCATCAGCATCGTCGTTTGGCTCTTCCAACAACGCAAAGGCATGGATCGTGCATGGCATTGTTGTAGGAGTTGCAATTGCAGCAGCTGCCGGGGCTCGCGCTTACCTGACCCGATTCAACAAATTTCGGAGCCGGGTCGTCGGTATCATACCAGCCCGATTCGCTTCGTCTCGGTTCCAGGGAAAGCCTCTTGTTCAAATCCTTGGCAAGCCCATGATCCAGGTCTTTCCTTCTTCCTCTCTTCTAAATTTCAGTTTTCTTTATAATTTTTTTTCTAAATTATGTCTGGTAATTTCAACCTTTTTTTTTTTTTTTTAATGCTCTTTGGTGGTGATTTTTCCTTTCTCATGTTAGACTCAGTTTGCTTTTTTTTTTTTTTTTTTTAAGTTGAAATGGTGATTTTTTGTGAATTCTCTTGAACAATTTTTAATTTACCATTTATATCAGATGTTGGGAAGTGAATAAAAGGGGTGAAGGATCGATTTTCGTTTTTGAGAATGTTTTGATATGATTAGAAAGGGATTATGTACCAATAATAATAATAATAATAATACTAATAATAAATGTTGCATAAAAATTGATGCAAACATAGTTTGCATTCTGGATCTTCAGAGGACAGGATTGGTGATAGCTTTTGTTTGTGAATTGAAGTTGAAGATTACTTTATAAATAAAAATTGTGACTCTTTTGCTTTAATCTTTTGAAAAAGTTGCACCCTTCTGTTTTACTTGTTCATCTACTTTGTTCATAAAGTTCACAATAATGACATGGCGTTGATTCAATCAGCTTTCTATTTTGATGTAGAAAATTTCAAATGTATTTGGCTTAGAATGTGTGGTTTCATAATTAAAAATAAGGAACTATGTGTTGAAGTTTTGATGGGTAATAGGTTAAGTTTATGGCATTTTTCTGTAAGTTTTGACAAATTTGAACCTTCCTTTGCAGGCTGGTTAGTTTTATTTGTCTTTATTCAATAACTTCGCTTCATTAGTTTCAATAATTGGATCAATAAAGCTATTGATGACTACAGAGTTAACACGGAATTTGCATCAAACTCAACATGTGGTTATCATTCTATTTGAGGAAAATAGAAAATAATATTTCCGTGTGAAACCTACATTGTGAAAAGTTAAATGAATAATGAAGGTGAACACATGCATAACACGAACCATACTGATTTGATGGGAACTCTCTCTAGATTTAATCCTAAATCTCATGTTTTTACATCTCTTGTCTATTGCACTTGTGTTGCTTGTATATTTCTTTCGGAACTTGCTAAGTACTTTGTTTATACATTATTTAATTGAATAGTGTAAAGAACCAATTAAACCCAAAACCTTAAGGTTTTAGGTTGAATTGGTTCTTTACATAGTATTAGAGCCATTCGCAGAATAGCTCATTAAATCAGTTATAGTTTGTTTGATGGTATACCTAGTTGATCCTGCCAGTAGTCATATGCTTGTCTCAAAGATTAAGCCATGCATGTGTAAGTATGAACTAATTCAGAGTGTGAAACAGCGAATGGCTCTGATACCATGTAAAGAACCAATTCAAGGTTTTGAGTTGAATTGGTTCTTTACAAAAAAAAATTGTTCATATTAGAGTAAACTATTCCCAGCACCTTTTTCTTTTAATTTTTGGTCTCCAATAGTTAAATTATGACGTATTTTACCTACTTTTAGCTAAATTTTACAGAGAACATGGGAAAGGGCAAAGCTGGCTGCTACATTGGATCATGTTGGTAGGTCTACCCATATGACCTTCCTCCAATCTTGCATGAATAGCTTTAATATATAAACTTGACTTAGATTCACATCTTATTTGTTGCACTTGGCCACAGAAGTCCTTATTAAGGTAAATGGAGATTTTTGCTTTGAGGGTAACTGAAGTTTTAATTCTGTTTTCATATGCATGTCCAATATGTGTTGCTTCTGAGGGGCATTGAATAGTGACACTATTTATACACAATCATGTCCTGGAACTGGATGAGTAAATGATTTGCATTTTATTTCAACTTGTACTGGTCTGCATGTGTTCATTAATGTAAAACCCCTTGCTGGCTTTTCAAATGGAAGAAATTCTCAATGTTTCCAAGATCTAACAACTATGCATTGCTTTCTTTTCAGACTTTCTTGACAAACTAATTCAAAAACATCATGATTTGGTTTGGATTGTGGTATAGGCAGATTTCAATGCATTCTTGTGCATGTCATCTGGTGTATCATATTCAAGAACAAAATAAATAGTTTTGCAATAATACAATTTGGTAGATGCTTACATGCATGTGCACATCTGTGTTGCTTTTTGATGTCTGATTGGTAATTTTTTCTGGTTCTAGTTGTGGCAACTGATGATGAAAAGATTGCTGACTGCTGTAGACAATTTGGAGCTGATGTCATAATGACATCAGAATCTTGCCGAAATGGTAAGCAAGTTATTTGCATTTTGTAGCCATTCAAGATTTTTTTTTCCCTGCAATGTTTCATACTTTATTTTGGCTTAATAGGTACTGAGCGCTGCAATGAAGCCCTACAGAAGCTTGGGAAAAAATATGATATTGTTGTCAACATTCAGGGTGATGAGCCTCTTATTGAACCTGAAATAATAGATGGTGTTGTCAAAGCTTTGCAGGTAAGATTTATTATTTATTTTTTATTTTTTTAATTGATTCTTTTTGTACCTTGAAAAATGCAAATATTGTTCTATGTGCACTAATGTTCTGATCAAAATGGTGAATCAATTGTTCCAAATCACTCATTTAATATAGCACCAGGTTATCTTGAAAATCTTTGCATTGAAGTATATAACTTAATGGCCAAAAGGAAATATTATGATATATATCTCATTGTTGGATTTATATTCTTCCGGTCCTAATGTGACCTATCATGTTCCTTACAGGCTGCTCCAGATGCAGTGTTCAGCACTGCAGTCACATCTTTAAAGCCTGAAGATGCACATGATCCAAATAGAGTGAAATGTGTGGTAGATAATCATGGTTATGCCATCTATTTTTCACGAGGATTGATCCCATTCAACAAGTAAATCAGAAATATTTTAAAGTTCTGATTTTCAGTCTTAGTTGCTCCTGCATTTACAAAACAACTTTTTGTGAAATTGTCGTATATATTTTTCTGTAATGAATATATTCTGTAAAACTGGATAAATGTCTGCATTCATGCTACAGGTCAGGGAAGGTCAATCAACAGTTCCCCTATTTGCTTCATCTTGGGATTCAGGTACTATAGTTAATTAATTGGCCGTAATAACAAACATTGTTTGTTGTTCATTAGTCTGTTACCATTATTTGCTTCATTGTGAGTTAATGTTTTTCTGTCTACACATCTCTACCAGAGCTATGATGCAAAATTTCTAAAGATATACCCAGATCTTCAACCTACTCCATTGCAACTCGAGGAGGATTTGGAGCAACTTAAAGTCCTTGAGAATGGCTATAAGATGAAGGTACCATCAGCTTTTAATACAAGTCCTTAATAATTTATGTATATCTGACTGACTTGCACGTTTTTCCCTTGACTATTTTAACGTTCAAATCCGATTATAAGGTCTGGTTGCCAACTTACCATTAGATGTGAGATGTCCGAAACCATCTTATCTTCAGGTTCTCAGATATTCAAATAAACACTTTATAGCTTTTAGCCACTGATGACAACCGAAAAAATTGTCTGATTGTTGAACTGAAAACTTGGTGTTAGCTATAGTGGATAAGGTGTTTTAGTATTACTATCATGTTCATCTGCACTCAGTAATCTTGAATTCCTTCTAAAGTGGAATTGTTCCTGATTATAGCTTCCAAAAATTTGGTTGAGGTGTACTTAGATGTGTTCTACAATGGAGTGACAAGTTGTTATGAGAAGGAACTATACACATGCCAAGAAATTGCAGTAGTCGGTAGGAGTATTGTTAGGACTTAATATTGTTAGTTCATTGTTCACGTGGGTGGTTAGTGTATAAGAATTTGCATAAGAATGTAGAAAAAAGAAAATTCTCACAGTTCCACTAAAATTCATTAATATAAATGCCTTGGAATAAAAAAAATTGACTCTTCATAAAATGGTCTTCTAACTTTGAGTGACATTTACCTCAAGATTATTGCTGCTACTAATTACTGTAATATTATATGCTCTGAGTTGTAGCTGATAACAGAAGTTTTAATTATCTCATGTGGGATGACACCATTCATATCATTGTTGTGCACTTTACCTTGTAAAGATGTCTCAGTTAATTTTTGTTATCTATTGTAGGTAATAAAGGTTGACCACGATGCCCATGGTGTTGACACTCCTGAAGATGTTGAAAAGATAGAATCTCTAATGCGGGAGAGGAACTTGTCTTGAACTCTCGGTTTTGCAATGAAACTATCTGCAAATTAACCATTAGCACAACACCTCTCAGATTCTTTTTGTTGCTTTCGACATAGTTGGAGTGTTATAGTTTATAATGTATGTTATTGTTTTAGCATCAGCAGTCGGACTTAGATTTAGGAGGACGAGCTTGGAGTGGTAATATTATTCTAAAGTTATGAGTTTGAATCCGGAAATAATCTCACTGAAATATGTAAACGGTAAAATTGTGTACTAGAATTATCCTAGTTAGTTGGGGTTGGGGTTTAATGCTAAGTCATTTTTTTGTTTTTTGGCAATAGGATTAGTTGTCTTTTTCATGTACGAGTGTTAATGTACGATACAAATGAGATTGAAAATTTTAGATATACATATAATGACAGGTATGTATGAATCTCTTTATCTTAGAAAAACTGCATTGGGACTTTGTTGATATGATTATTAGTTTAGGTTAATATAAAGGTTTCGCTTTTTCTACGGTCAATGTAGATAATTATTTATATTGATTGAGTCCAAAATGACGTTATTTTGAGGCGAAAATTAAAATATTTTTGTAATTATAATTTATTTCAAAGTTATCATAGTCTTTTTTATTATAAATTTTTAACTCAAAACGACGTCGTTTTGAGAGCGAATGTAGATAATTTATCTACATTCACTTTAGAAATATTAAAGCCTAATATAAATAGGGGAATTGTTTTGTCATGTTGCTGCAGTAAAGCAATTCCACGCCACGCACATACATAGAAATTGCCACCAGCATTTTTTCTTTTTTTTTTCAAAGAAATAGTGGGCCCCACAAATTTTTTTGTTTCAGCATAACATAACAAATTTTTCTTACATTATTCTTATAAAACCCATATAAATAATGGGTTAAGTATCTGTTCACTTAGTTTTTAACATTATGTATTACAGGTAGTATATAGTTATAAAAAGTTACTAATCTCATGTTGTTTGAGATAGTTTTTTCATGTGTGAGATAAAAATGTGGGGTCCACACTTTAAAACAAAAGAAAAAAGAGATGAAAAAAGCTGACACAAAATTCGACCAATGTATAAAATGAGATAATTATCTCCAATGAAATGAGAAAAATATTTTTCATAGTTAAAAAATGAAAAGTTATTTTTTCTTCTCTTTTCACGTTAGCTAAAAATGATTGAGGAGAGAAAAAAAGTAATTTTTCTTATTATAATTATGTACTATTTGTAATATATAGTGTTAAAAACTAAAATGACACAATTTGTATTCTTTAAAAGGACAATTTTGCTGATATAAATAATACATCATGAAGGATATTGATTTATAGTAGTTTAGAGGGTAGTGCCATTATATAAAATTCATCCGTGATTATGATTGCATTATACTATTCAGAAAATTAAATTTGTAAAAACTAATAATATGAAAAGGGGACGAACAAAAGGAAAAAAAAGGCGCAAGACTATATGTTAAAAAAGTTTATTACTAAAATGCTATTTAAAAAATTATCATTAAGAATTCAAGAAAGAAAAATGTAAATGGAATATTCTATCAAGATGTTTAACTCTATTAAAAAATTACAGACAAAAGTTGTAACATCTCGTCGGCCGCTTGTATATTATCATACAAATGATAAAATGCGTAGCATGTTTAATTAAATAAACGCAAAAGTTCTATATTGAATTATCCATTTATGTGATATCTTTTCAATGTATACATTTTTTTCCTTTTTACCTTATGTATTGCAATATATGAAATAATGTCAATCATTACAAATCTTGCCTCACATCATTAAATAACATACTAATCATGTTCCTACATCAAGTAGTCTATCAAGTAGTCATGACAACATCCATACTCATGGTGTAAGATGTCCTCGAATCAACAATAACACAAGATTATTTAATTGTGGCATAAATAACCCTTATGCTCACATCAAATAAAACATACATAGTCTGACATATAATAATCATGTCCCAAGTATATACAAGCATATAAAATAAGATCTATGCATGTCATGTTAAAATATCTAAGTCGGCCTCTTGCCTCGAGAAGCATTCATCTCATGAATATCAGCACCTGAAAAATGTTTCTCAAACGAGATGAGATGACAATCTCAGTAAACTAGGGTTCTTGAAGGATCACTTCGCCCTAAGTTTACTTACAGGCATACTAAGTGCAATAGAATAATAATATGCATAATGTTGGATATATAGCATCTAATATGTGCAATATCAATATCTACGGGCCAGAGAATAAAGTATGCATTGTGCACGTTTGCAACATACCAAATGTATAAAGATTCCCCTCACACCCTATACTCAGGCACCGCCATCTCATATAGGTACACATTATCACACCTGCACACACACACACACACACACACACACACACACACACATATATATATATATATATATATATATATCAACACATCCATAAATCATTTCCAAATATATTAGATATATTTATCAGTACAAAAATCATTTCCCAAAAACATGTCATGCACATAAACTAACTTCCCATGGAATTTGGTGGAACAACATGGGATTAACCCTGAGAACCGAAAGCTTACCTGTCGCCGGTAGGTTCTGTAACCAAGCCTTGGTGTCCAAAAGATCACCAACACTGTATCCAACAAAATCACAATCTATTTCCATAGTGTACATACAATCAAGAGTAAATACCTTTTTTGGTCCCCAGCAAATTTCACGATACCCGTTTTAGTCCCTAGCAAATAAAAAGGCTCATCGTGGTCCCTAAGAAATTCAAAATGGACCCATTTAGTTGAAATCGTAGTCCCTCACAAATTCAAAAAAGACTCATATTAGTCCTCAAAAGGACTAAAATGGGTCCATTCTGAATTTCTTAGGGACCACGATGTGCCTTTTTATTTGCTAGGGACTAAAGCGGGCATCGTAAAATTTGTTGAGGACCAAAAATGGTATTTACTCTACAATCAATATACATATACTAGTCTATCACACATAATTTGATGCTATCTTTCTCCCGTTAATAATACATAAGGCTTTTTCCAAAGCCATAAGTATTGGTTACTTAAGTTATGACTTTAACATATTTTTCAAAAGTTCACATTGATCTCCTTAGGATCCTAAATCATTAACAAGGGCTCATGAGTCCTTCCATTGAAGAACAATTCAAAGAAATGGGCTCCATTGTCCGGTTTGGCAATAAACAGTGTTTACCATTTTAAAATTGATGTTGTATCTTTTTACAAAAATTCAAAGATTTTACTATGTTAAACTAGACATTTCAAGCTTTCCAACGACATATTACATGTCTCAATTGGATTTAGATAACTCGACTGGATTTTTAGGAGCAATATCGCAACTTAAAACTTAAACTGCGGTTAATTCGCTTAACCAATGATTCTGAAATTTTCCAGGGTTATATCCCTATGTGTTAGTTTCACATAGGTCCAAACTCCACTCAATTTGGAGCTCCGTAGGTCAAGATACGATCGTTTTACTAAACCATATTTTCGTTGCACTAGGGATTCGAATCCCCTTCGAATCCCTCTTCGGAAGAGGCCCAAAACATTAGCTTTTAGGGGTTCAACCAACTCACTTACTCTTGGATTACTAGTTTAACACTTAAGCTCTTAAAGTTTCTCTTTTTCATGACACAAATCAAGCTATTCTTATGGAAATGCAAAGGAAATGGTTGAGGGTTACCTTAGAGTCCTTAAAATAGAGGAAGATGGAGACTTTTAAGGCTCAAGTTCCCCTTTCTAAGGCTAAATGATATGCCTCTGGCAAGTGTGGTTTTTCCATGTTAAAATTGATAAGAATTGGGTCATAAGAGAGCAATTTAAATACATATTTGCTAATTATATTGATTCTTTCTTTTCAATTATAGTTCTCACCTATTGGTTGTGTTTTTACAGGAAAAAAGAAGTGAAAATTATAAAATCCTGTTGACACAGACCAGCGCCAGATTGGAGATGTTGCATAGTACAAAGTCTAGAGAATTGGCGCTAGTTGGCGCCAGAATGGCGCAAACTAGCGCCACCATGCTAAATGGCGCCAAACCAAAGCAAACCAGCGCCAGAATAACACAAGGAAGTGGCGCCACCAGGCGCCCAAAACCAAGCTAAATGGCGCCAAGTGGCGCCCAAAGACAAGAAAGATGGCGCCAAGTGGCGCCCAAAAAGGTAAAGGATGGCGCAAACTGGCGCCATGTCATGAAGACCCGGTTCCGACTTTTCGTATTCAAGGCAGCAAGTTGGCGCAAACGTGCGCCAAACCGGCGCCAACTGGCGCCGGGTTGCGAGAAAATAACACGTCTTTCCGCGGGGTATTTTTGGAAGAAGGAAAAAATAAGTTTATAAATAGGATCCTTGTGCTAGACCTAGATCATCTAATTCCGTTCAGAGGAGGCCGACGGCAGAGCTCAGGAGGATTCTTCCACAGTTCTTCTTCTTCATCTATTTCTCTGTAATTTTATGCTTTTGAATATTGAATTATTTTTAGCCATGATTATGCTTGGCTAGTTTTCTTTTATTGTAGTTAGGATCACGAGCCCTATGTGAACCCTTGTTACGATAGATTGATTTAGTTTTATTCATTTATATAATTATCTTTGTCTCTACCTTGTGCGTATTTTCTATTTTCTTTATTAGAACTGATCAATCTGATAGTTGGGAATAGTTTGAGGGTTAGAACCCTAGATAGGAATATTGGGGTTTTGATCTTGAAAGGGGTAGGACAACAATTGGTATGCATGCTAGGAATAGATGTGTATTTAATTGCGGATGCTTAAATTATTGCGTTCATTGCTTAATACCATGAGGACATTGCAAGGAATTGGGGTTCCAATTGGGGATTAAAGGGTTAACCTTGCAAGGAATTGAGGGTTAACTAATAAATATTCTTAGATAATAATTTATCCGAGTAATTATATGAATACATTTTGTGAATCAATCCAAAGTAAGAAGTGGGGATCATAAGGTGAGTGCGCTCTAGCTACAATATTTTTCTCATATTTTTAAAATCAATTCTCATTGTTATTATTTTATTTCTCTTAAATAAAAATTCAAAAACAAGTCTTTACTTTTATTTCTTATTGTTACTAAAAGTCGATTCGCAATTTTTCCAAACAACAAACCGAGTTTTCCAACTTAAGGGGACTGGTTATTGTAGTACTTGGTTTACAATCCCTGTGGAGACGATACTCTACTTACTTTCTATATTACTTGTGCGATCGGTATACTTGCCGGAGAGCATCACTAAACAAAGGTGTGCACGAAAATGACTTGAAAATGTTGATTCTTTCTTGTCAAGGGACCTCCACACAAGTGATGGGAATGGTTCAAACTTTCAACAATGGATGACAACTCTCCTCAAGCACCAAAACTAGAAATCCAAGGCTCCCAAAGTTG